TTGATTATCTTCAGTATAATGTAAATACTAATAACTGAATCCATCAATATCTACAGGGAAAAGTAAACACTATTTTTACCTTGAAAAGAATTAATGGTTTTGAAAATATTTATTTTACATAATTTAAAGTTGTTATAAAACAACATAATATATGGTAATCGATCATACTTTTTAGTTTTTATTAGTTATCATTTGTTATGTTTTTCCATTTCATTGAATAACAACATCTTTTAATTTCTTATATTCCTAAATAAATAATTTTTCTCAGAATTTTGATCTATTAAACTGAATTGTGTAACTAGTTAATTAGCTTTAAGTATTTCAAGTTTAGATTATCGGAGTTAAGTATACAACGGCACAGAGACTATGATGGTCTTGATTATCCGCTCTTCTATCTATACGTTAATATATTCAATAACTACTCTTAGATAATTGTCTACTCTTTCTAAATTAGATTTTTTACATCACAATTCTCAGAAAACTATTGTGTTTTGGAATATGAAATAAAATAATATGATATCATTCAGAAAATGTAAAAACTTGTGTTCTTTTAAAAATGTTGTTTTATAACGACTTCAAATTATGTATTTAAAAAATATTTTCAAAAATTTAATACTTATTGAAATAATGAGTGTTAACTGTTAAAATATTCACTCAGTTTAATATTAGACTATCAAATAGTATGTGGTTTTTATGGTAGTAATGCAGGTAGGTGTATCAAAATAAAAATAAATATACATAAAAACTTTACCTAGTTATTGTAGTTGAAAAAATAATTGGATGTCACACAAAGGTTTGTTATCTTTATTTATCAAACAGCAGTACAACATGTAACTTGCCAAAACACAGGCTATAAAAATTATAGTGAACAATATTTTTAACTTTTTTGATAATACGAATGTATAAATCATAAAAATGGTTATGATATGTTCTCGAAAATATTCTTTTTTATATTTTTTATAATATGTACTCTGCTTTAAAATTAATTACATGTACTAATAAATTACGACTGATATATGTGTCAACTTGCAATTTCTCTGTTATGTGAGGGACAAATTCAGACGTTCCTTCAATACTTTAAATATTTGCGGAAATTATTGAATAACATTTTTTCTCCTTTTTATATTAAATGTAATGACTAATAATATTAAGATTGAAAGTCAGACCGTCTAATTTTCCAATTTTCCCTTCCAATTTAGCTATGCCGTTTTATTTTTTTTACTCCACTGGTCAGACGAAAACAATATACGTACCTAATAAAAAGTTGATACATTTATATTACGTATTCCTATTAGGAATTTCTTGTTAGATTTTGTTCAGTGTCTATAGATTATAGGTACATTTTGTCGTAATGCAAACATTATCAAGAGAAAATGATTATAATTTTATTTTTATATTTTAAATTTGTATTAGGTATTTCATGGTTATTTAATTTTTCACTCTGTACATTTTTGCAGTATTACATCACATTACATAGATGCCAATACTCAAAAAGTGACCAAATGAAAAAAAAAACAAATATTATATAAATTTTAAATTTTAAAATAAAATTATAAACATTTTCACTTGATTCATTTTAAGAAGGCGACTATGATATAATATGCACATCATTACTCATCACCTGTATATTATTATCTTAGGTATGCATTTCTTAGAACATAAGCACGCCGCAATGATTTATGTTCAGTGGCATCCCTAGACCAATTTCTTTGGCAGGGTCGGGTAGTGGTGGCAAACTCAATATAACATGCCTATTGCTTATATTATGCTTACCTCTTCCCAATTTCGAAGATGCTCCTGGATTTTCAGTGGTATTATATTATCGTAGTCGACATTAGTATAATTCGGTATAGGGTGTGAATCGATTTGTATAATATTCCTCGCGTTACTCAGTGATATGCACATTATATTACCTATGTTAAACTTATTCATAATTAAATATAATTATAATAATTCAAACTGGAACTCATCTTTAAATGTCTATATCAATAATACATCATTTTTGAGCGTCCGAGAAATTTCATTTAAATAGCTTATTATTCAAATGTTAATTCTTGGCTGTAAGTTAACTGCAATTGTGTATTTATTACGATACATTGTATTTCTGTGTAACGATAAACTGAAATTACACCCATCGATCATTATTTGTCAGTAATATAATGATATTAGGTATATTATTTTTATATTATAATGGAGTTCATGGGAATATTTTATTCAGAGTATATTATTTTGTTCAGTATATTTGAAAGGTGATACCGATGAGAATACTTTTAGGTATAACTGCAAAAACAAAATATGACTTTTTGTTTGTGTAAATGTTAAGAGAAGTGGGACCTTAACGTGCCAACGTCGTGAATTATTTTGCGTAAATACCTTATTTATTTCGTATGTTTCAAATAAAACATTTTTTTTTTGAGATTTTGAAATACTTCTGAACAAGAGATTTATCATTAAAATGACGTCGTTCTTTTATCAAGAACGTAATAAACATATTTAATACTAAGTTGATATAGCATACATTATCAATTTTATACTTCATAATGTATATCATATTTCGTATGTCGAAATTATAAATTATAAAAATTATATTATAGTTAATCAACTTAGTCGCAGTATTTAATTCTAATTTCTATATAATTTAATAATATGATAGAAACAAAATCCTTTCTAAATTATTCAAATTATTTATTAATTTTTTTCGTAGAAAATATGGTATAATGATTGGTGTAAAAAGTAATATTTTCTTTAAAGTTTAAAGTAAATTGATAATTGTATTAAATCATGATTTTAATTTACATGCATATATTATTATATTTTCTATATAATATTGATTGGATTTTAGTTGTAAGATATAATTGTATAAAGCTTAGGATACTGAAATAAGTAAGAATAATACAGATTTTAACTGTATAATGGTTTTTTTTTTTTTTTTTTTGATACTTTTTATCATTTACTTTTATTTAAATTTAAGTATTATGACTTGAATTTAAATACACTATTACCTACTAAATACATTCATTAGTATGTTAAAAGTAATTAATTATTATTTATTTATTTCTATGAGTAATTTAAAATTTGTAGGTACTTCTTCTTAAACTTGATTGTAAGAAAAAATTCGTTCATATCCGTTTATGAAAGCAAATGTTTTTCATCGTTTTCAAATTTAATATGAAAATTCACTATTATCCTGTGCACTTAAGAGTTAGAGCCCATATCTGTATCCTCGTGGACCTTTTTTTGTAACATTTTCTGTAATTATTGAAATTTTGATTTATTATTTATTATTTACATTACTTGTATTCGTAAGAAAGAATATTGTGTTGAAAAAAAAATGTTAGGGAAAAATAACAATTTAGTCGTTAAAAATGTTGGTGTGTTTGGTTATAAAATGAAAAGTATATACTATACATTTTACGATCAATTAAAAAAATAATATCATGAAGTATATTATGTTTTTTTATTCTTGTCGTTTTCTCATAATATACTAAGGAATCTGGAATTTAACTCTTTTTCCCTCGGGGCGTCTACGTACCTAAAATACTGTTATTGTTGTACGCATTTAATTGGGTTATTTAAGTTAAAAGTTATTCTAAATAATCTTTTGATCATGCTAATTCCTAACATGCAAAATACCCACTGCAGTGCCTATACATACTATTATTCTGTATTGCGTTATATTATTAACTAAATCTATAGATTTGTATACGCGTAGCTTTCAATTGATCATTTCACCCATACCGATGTTTTGTCGCATCCAGTTTTCCAATTACCGGAGACCGGAGTACCGTGCAGGAGCCTGGTATAGTGGTATCGCCGCGGAAATGTCGCCGGAAACCGCGGCGATACAGCGAACCCGAAACGAAAGTTTTTTTTGTTTTATCCTTCCCAATAAAAAACTCGCTCACCGCCCTCGGCTGCAGCAGTTTATATATGACGACGACGTTAACCTATTTATGTATAGCATTATATGTGCGTGTGTTATATTACGGCGGTAAACCTCTATACAACCACTACAGTAAATATACATATATATTGTACATTATACATTAAGTATAACGTTGAAACGCAACACACGCGCCGTCGGCTGCGGTGACTTACCGCCGCCACCTCCACCGCCATCGCCACCGAAGCCTTCACCTCCACCGCGCCGACGTTATGCCGTCACATCACGTCGTGTTATATGCAAAATAACGTTGTAATGCTTGTCTGGCGCGGGGCGCGAAGACGCTGCGACGTGATGGCGGCGTGCCACACGCGCGCGCGCGGGGCTGCCGCCGGACGGGTAGCGGCGATGATGAATTATATTCTCCTCGCAACCCCTCTCACAGTTCCTCGCCAGCCTGCCACCTGTCCGTCTTGGGTTGTCCCCTCTCCTAGCCCCTCTACAACCACACGACGACCGAGCGATAATGACGACGGTCATACACACACAGACGTCCGCATGAGCGCAAGGTGGTGTGTATTCGTGGAATAAACGAGACGAGCCTGTTGAAACGGTCTGGCCGGAGGGGTGGAAAAAAAGTAATAATAAATAACTTATCATCTCGAACTTTCGAGTAGATAATTTACCACGTTTTGTGCCAACGCAGACTTCGGGAGCGAAGAAAATTACGTACCTATACACACACCCACACGCACAAAAATACACACCCATGCCTGTATACGTGTATGTGGCTGCGTTAAGAAGCTTCGCGTGACGGTGACGCGTATTTTCCGCGCCGAGAGACGAAAAGTTTAAAAAGGATTTTCTTCCGCCCGTTCCCTTTGTTGAGTTGCGAGTGTTTTTTTCTTTATCCTTTTATGACTTTATATATGTATATATATATATATATATGCTACGATATTAGATCGCCTTTAGTGCGCCGGCCGCATCGATCACGCACCGCCGCCGCATCCGTCAACCTCTGTTCTTGCGTGACTGTTTCTGCGATAAAGATTTTTGTCGGGTCGTAACCCAATATGCCATCTCAGTCCGTGGTATATATAGGTACACACGTACGATGGTCCCGGTACCATTACAATCATCTCGAAGAGGATGGGTGGGCGAGTGTGCCTGGAGCTTTGCAGTTGTATACGGTGGAAGAGATCAGAGACACACACACACTGCTCGAATAGAGGTGTTGGTCACGGCGGTGATCGATCGTTCCGAGATCATTTCCGGTCGGTCGACGACGATGACGACTATAATGTGTTCTGGCGACAGCGCCGCCGGATGTAGCTGGTTGAAAATTATTAGACCTTTGTTCGTTTTTATTACTGGCGAACGTTAACCACACAGACCCGCGCGACAGCGGTGTTTTCTAGTCTCTCGTCGTTGTCGTCATAATAATATAATATCTATAATACCGTGTAGAGGTGAGAATGGATCGATTCGCGACTGTAATATGTATACGTTGATATCCGCAAACCTATCGGTTTGGTGTAATCGCGGCGTGTATTGGCTGCTGGGTTGATGTGCGGGGAGGAAACGCATTGGTGGTTTCCTATTATTGAGATTGACTGTAGGACGTGTAGGTATACGCCAACACATCCGACATCCGCCCCGCAAACGGGGAAACAATATTGTTTCGGCAAAATATCCGGCTGTAATTAATTTTCACGATCAAATATGTGCTATACCGACAAAAATTATGAATACCCTTCGGATGTTTACACAATATGTATTACATTTTTAATAATAATTTAAATATTACACATTTTTACACGAGCGGAAAATGTCAATTGTAAAGAGAATATTGATGTTTGGAAAAATAATGTAAACATCAAAAGTCGTACTTTTTTTTACATTCACACTATGGTGTTGAAAATTAATCGAAAGACATACATTTATATTAAAACTTGAATACAATACACTTGTTAGGTAATGATTTCTATTTTATGGTCTAATATAATAATTAATATTTCGATGGAAATTAATAAAGATTAATGTTTTTTTGTTTTAATTACTCTCTGATATTAAATAACAATACTAATATTGGCATACGGTTTTATGTTACTGATCAATTAGATACGTTGAAAAATATTCATGGGAATTTGATGGCACGCACCTACCTCATTTTCAGACAAATTACCACTCATAATTTATTTTCAAGAGAACTAAGCATGTATAACGGTTGTTTTTATTTTCGCTCATGGCACTCTTCCCGTACGGTTCTGCAAACAACTAATACAAAAAAAAAAATAATCTATTTTATGAGGGGCTGGCTTTTGAAGAGAAACATTCCAATGAATGGGATTAATAGTGATGAAAAAACGCAACATGGTTACTGAATTATATTTTATTTAATTGAAACACAGCAAAATAATAATAATAAAACCTCTAGAATTGTTATAAAAAGTGAATTATTCTGTTGTAACATTTAAATTTTTTTCTGAACGACCAACCTAACCAACGAAATTTTTTCCTTTTTGACCTCGTAATGTTAACGTAATGTTTTTTCTTTTATTTATTATTGATTTATGAATTCATAAATGTATTTCATTTTAAAAAACCGTAAATAATTTAACGTTTCGTTGGTTTTTTTTTAATCAGATATTATTTTATGCGTTATTTACTCAGTTTTGTTTTTTATTGAACACAGTCAAATAAATTTATTTTTATTAATGGGTAACCGTTTTGATGTTTTTCATGTTAATATTTATATTAATACATGGATATCTTGCTCATTCGTGAAAATCGTATATGTGTATTGTATGTTGTTTGATGTTTTTGAAGAAATTCATAGGCAAGTTGTGCTATTTCTTTATGTATTTAGTATTTTATTTATTAGCTGCGTCTCGGAACTTTATGTGTTTGCATATTTCGAGAAAGCTTCATATTAAAAATACGATTTTACACAAATTTGTTTTATAACATAGTGTAGAACTCAAATCAAAAAATGTATGTTGCATAATTGTTGCATCCTCTATCAAATTTAAGTGGTGTAAAAAGCCTTATTCTTGCGTCCTTATGGTAATTATATTTCGAATATTACCTAATATACATTTTCTAATTATTGGATGTTGTTATTTTAAGTTAAATCAATAGTATATTTTTTTTATAATTATATATAATATAAAATATCATACATAAGTATTTTTGCTTATTATTATCCTTTTTCAACCATGCATTTTTGAAGTTTATTTTCATATAAATGTACACTTTATAAAAAAAGAATTGCATATTATTTAAGATTTTTTTTGGTGCACATATTTCTTTGTGTTTAAATGCATAAAGTTCCGAATCCTGGGCCATTTATTATTAATAAACTAAACATACTTTATGAATCTTCTTAAGATTTAACTTAAATAATTCTGTTATAATAATAAATTATAATACCATGTACCTGTAGTCTATAATTATAAACCTGATATAGGTACTTATGTAATGTTCACAATGTATTTTATGTAATAATATTTTTTTGTTAGCGGTATAGAAAAACTAAATTAAATTTACTTGTGTCTTTGTGATGTTCTTCATAAATCAAAAGAATATTAATAGTATTACAATAGCGTTCCTCAATATTCTTCGAACATAATCTTCCTTGGCCACCAATCCCTTCAGGGGATATAGATTTTACTTTACATTTTATTACGAAAGCTCGGAATTCTCCCCGGGATTTTTCGTTTATGCATTTTCCAACCTTTTACGGACTTTAATTTACTTTTATATTGTCATTATTTTTTCACTGTCATCACATTCCGGATGGCAATATTTAGTATTTAGACCATCGTATATGTCAGCCATAATAGTACTAGTCACTAGACTCCAGTAAAATAGTTAATAAGTTTTTATTACTTATTTTTTATTCGGCTTATTAGTTTACCTAATTTTTGCAATAAACTTTATTTCCTTGCAAATGACGGTTCTTATTATTATCAAATAGTTTTATGAAGGTACCTATCATTGCTATAATATTTACAAGTTTTGTATAATATTGTATGTTCATTTTGTCTTGGTTATCAAACCTTGGTGTGCAGTAATAATATAGTTTCTGTATGAACTCGGAACTCCTTGAACTCACTTCGTGTCACTGAATTTTTAATAACAATATATTTATAGCTCTGAAGTATCAATAAAATAAAATAGGTACTTATATACTGTATTTTGAAAACCTTTTAGATTCTGAGCAGAGCGATGAATGTATTTATTTCACAATGATGTGTATTTTTTTATTTGCCTACTTTTGTCTGTCATCACCTTTAGGAGCAGTGAAAATGTTTTGATTTTCAACATTGAGGGTGGTTTCTGGTAGCAAATTAGATCTAGTTGGTTTCTCGAAAGAGGGGGGTAGTACTTTGCTAAATATCCTGAAAAAAAAAAAAAAAAATGATGATTTATACTCAACACCTACCGTACAGCAGAGTGGTTGTCTACCTATATACTTTCCCCCTTTTTTGATACTTACGCGGATTGTAATAGAGTACAAATGTTTATTGTTGTCATATGATTTACATATGTGTTTAAGTAACGGTTAGTGTGTTGCCAGTTAATGATTTAGTGACAACTTAGGCAGCATAATTTATTGACTCGAAATATTATGTTTATTGACCATCAAACGTGTGTTTTTTTACAATTTTAACGTTTAGTTTTTTTTTAAATTTGTGTTTTATTAGACAAAGGAAATCTTAATTTATAGTCTCTTGATATGGTGCTTTTGTATTAACTAACGTTAGTTCGTGTTTAATAGTTCTGTTCTCTGTTCATGGTATATTTTTTATATTTACACAATAATCAAGCTTCAAATTATTTTGCGACTATAATATGATATAATAAATAAATATTTGTTATTAGTTAAATCCTATTATATTATAATCTTGGCGTTACTGGTAAATTCTGTACGACTGAATTTTAATGTTACCGTCGCAGCGAATAAACGATATATTAGTTTAACATTCAAATCATTACATGAATCTCTTTTGAGTACGTTTCTAGAGTATGGAAATGGAACACTTGAATGAGCTCTGAATAATTTCCAGTTCTCTTTATCCTCTCACTTGACTCACGTGTGTAAATGTATAGTACCTACCGTTATCGACACAAAATACTCCACTGCTAATAATATCGAAGACTCCGTTACCGATATAACGTACAAGTTAATATAGGTATAATGGAGTGTAATATCTGCATTAAAAGCAAGTGGTGTTCGATTGATTAATCGTTTAAAAAAAAAAAAACACGTCTCATCTCTGCATTTTATAACGGTATATGAGTGTAGATATACACCCAGTAAACGATATCATTTATACCGATGTTTTAATGAATTTTTTCGTAAAATTCGTTTGTTTTGTTTACTTACCTACCTAGATTGGGTAAGTAGTGATCTGTGTTTTATATTTTTATTCATATTATTAATAATTTTATGGATTTCGCGTTTTGAAGTATATACTACTAACATTACATTTTAATAATTGGAAATTCTCCGATGTATCGAGTGTGAACTATTACAAGTACGCTTTGATGGCAATAAGGTGTCAAACTTTGATAACTATTATTTCGGATGTTCGTGTTCTGTTCTCTGACACGTTCTTCTGTCATACTGTAGATATATATAGCCACGTGTACGTCTTCGTGTTTTTTGTATTATACGATGATGGATGGTATTTCATGTCACGGTGGAGGTCTGTCGGCAAGGTGAATTTCTGACACGGTGTTTCATTAGCATACCTCCGCCCTCATCGTCGGTTATGAGGAGATAAAACAAATGAGCGTATACAAATGGGACGGTATTATTATGTTTGTGTTAAGAAAAAAAAAGCAAGTCGGAAAAATATTCAAAATGTTTTCAACAAGATTTTGGGCGACGTCTTGGAAATTTTAATATATTCTGAGATCATATAGTGGTGTCACGGATCGTATTTCGTTATAAATAGTTTTTTTCTCGTTGTTTTTTTTTCCAGAAATCTGAAATCATTTTCATAAGCATTAAATACTCGTTAATAAATCTGTGAAATGCATCGAAGGGATAAAATAATGTTTCATGTATCGAAATGGATATTTAGTGAAGGAATATAATATAGTGAACGTTGTTCATTTTTAAGTTACTATATTATGGTACTGACAGATGTCATATTTAGGTTAAGATATTACATTGTTTCCGCCGCCAAAGTGTTTGGATTATATTATTTAAATATACGGTTTAGAGATTTTGGAGGTAACTCCGCCTGATGGGCAAAAAACTTTAACTTCCTCAAGTACGGTTCAGTGCTATCGAGATTCCCTCGACTATCGGTTGGAATGACAAGGGCTGACATATTCCGCAGGATTCCACGTTAAACTGGAATCTAATTA